GATTTACTGAGCCTGGATATTGATCAATCAAGGGAATAAATCTACAATTTTCTTATCTAGTTGAAACAGATAATTAACTTTAAAGGTTCATATCTCGGAACTTTGTCAAACTAGACTACGTACTCAAGTTGAGAGTTTAGGTTTTGGAAAGGAGTACGCTTATTTGCTTGGTATATATGTTGAAGAAGGTAACTTGACTTTTTGTCAAGCAGAGGTACTAAGGGTCGAGTATGTTTGTTCATTTAGGAAACATATTGAACAAGGTAACTGTTGCGTTTTTTATATCGCAAGTGTACGATATCGTGACAAGTAATGTAGTGGACCGTTGAGTCCAGATATCATTCCCACGAAAACTATATTTCAGACTTAATCTATTTTTCCTAACTCCTATTTGATAAAAAGTTAAATTAAGAATGGTAATAGTTGCGAATAAGTGCCTTAAACTAATGGAAAGTATAAGAAGATTGTAAACAATGATTGATAAAATATTCGAATGCGTAATGAATATTATGGCAAAACAAGTTCATCTAATGATCATCTTAATTCTCAATTCAAGATTCTAACCTAAGATAGTGTTCGATCGAATTCTCCTATTGTATTCAATTTACCCATCTCGAGTTCTCATTGAGCCTACTTAACTAATTTAATTCCATATCTCTATGCAAATTACCCTTAGTTAAATGAAATATGGTTCTAAAAATTCTTATAATTAGTATAGGTATCTCTACAAGTTATACTACTTTATCGGATTTTATTATACGGTCTAAGCCTCAAACTCACTTCTCGATTCGTAAGAAACTCAAATAATCATCAAATTATTAGCCAAATAATCCAAAGCATTAAGCATATAATAAAATCAACACATAAAAAATAAATTACAGAAATCTTTGGATAAAAGAATCAAGAATCACAAAAGACTACATTGTTTGCCATAATCTAGAGTTTAGCTACGGATAATGTAAAAGGAAAAACAAATAAATGTCTTTGAGTACATCACCAGATTAATTGAATAAAGATATAGAAAAAAATCAACTTTTGCACCAAGGTTTTCTTCCGCTTCCAATCTTTGCCTTAAACTTGAACCCTGTGATGAAATTCGTCTTTTGATTTAGCTCTTCGATCTCTCGTTATATCTCTTTTTTTTAAATATTTGGAACCCCAATTCGTGTCTTTTTTGGTCTATTTATAGTTCCCTACACGTCCTTGGCCAGATTGGAGTATTTTTCTGGGCCTCTAGCGGCCTAATCAACAAACCTTATTTTTGGCCATGCAACGCCTAGTTGCCACAATGGGGAGTTCAGGCAGCGCCTGGGCGCTATGGTGGTAGTGCCTAGGCACTATCTTGTTGAAAAGCTTCTATTATCCTACGTCAGGCGCTGCATCTCTGCACTTTTTTTTTTCTTCTTGTTGTCCAGCGCTTGGGCACCATTTTTCTATCTATTTTTCCTTTTGGCTTGCCTCAACACCCCTTTTTTAACTTTTTACTATACCTTTAAAACAACACTAGCAAACGCATTAAAAACGTTCTATAATCATAAAATTCAGCCAACAATTAAATTAAATTGGTATAAAATCGTGTGCAAAACTCACTTATCAGTGACTTTAATAAATCGAGTAGTAAAGATATTACTGCCACCCACAATATTCGGAGGGGTTATAAGTTGAAGTCGATTTTTGTGTATCCCAAAATCCATTGAATTTAAGAAATAAGTCGTCGTGCATATAGTGGTCGTATCTTATAGTATAAAGCACAATTTGTTCTTATGTGCCATCGACTGCAATTACTAGTACAACGCTAAGATGTTATAGCACCATATATACCATATTCCTGTGTAGTGTATTCAAATTGTGTTGGCAAATAATTATATCACTGTGAATTGATTTGGGCAGAATAACGTCATGCAAAAATAAACGATATAAAATGTTAATGGTCGAAGTAAGAGTTCGACTCTTTCTCCTTAAAATAATAATGCCCCACACTGGTGCGACGGTATTTCGGCACTCATCTTCCATTATACAACGATCTCAACTTGTAAGAGTAGCACTCCAAATTACAAGATCCGGCAAACATACTCACGTTTTGATCTCTCTAAAAATGTTGAGGATTAAAATGCACGAAAATAACTTTCGAGACTAAATTGCAAAATAAGAATAACGCAGGGACGAATGAATAATTTTGGAAGAATAATAAAATCATAATTGATTTTGGAATGAATGAAAACCGGGGAATGGATGCTTTTATATGTAAGTTGGAAATACAATAGTCGAAAAGTTGTGTCTTCAACATATACAAACCGTTTGGACAGACACTTTAACTGGCCACTGTTAACTGCCTCTTCTAGAAGAAAACATATGTCTCGCACAGAAAATTCGGAGAAAAATAATATACATAAATATATTATTATTTTAAATAATAATAAAATAATATAATTAAAATATTATTTTACCAAAAAATATATATCAACTTGGCCTAAAAGCCAAAGCCAAAGCCCAAGCCTATAGTTAACAAAAAATGGTGGCTGTGCAAAATCTCACTGGCTTACAATCTTCTTCTCTATTTCTTTTTCTTTTCTTTTTCTCTCTTTTTCAATTAGGCGGTTTTCAAATATAAAATCTATAACTCTTGTTTCTTTCTCGAACAGGCATGAATATGCCCTCCATTAATGCTTCCACTGCAAATTCTTTGCGCAACTTCAAAAGCTGAATCACGCGCTGTAGGGTTTTGGCATAGGCAAACCCTTGACAATTCCACACAGCGGAGTATTGTCAGGAATGTTGTATTCATCGCGTAGAGAGTGCTCCGGTGAGAGTACGCTGATATATAGCTGCTGTCCCAGATACTGCCTCTCGAGAGTCAGTGCTCTTAAGCTCCACATTCCAGCATTGTCCAGTGTAGTCATAATGGCTGCCCAGCTCTTGGGATATACTTGGATTGTGTTCCTACTTATTGCATCCAAAAGATTGTAATTCCTCCTCTTATCTGGTGTCCATCTTCCTGGTTCAATCCTGTTGCATTCATGCATTGTGTTAGTGTTTATATGCATTCACGTGCGGGAGTTACACCTAGTTATCATATATCCACTAAGGTGATGCCAAAATAAGGTGGATTGGTCAATATTGAAAATATTAATGAATGAAAAGAAACTTATGTTCATTATACTCTCGAGCCGTGTCTAGATTTGTATACTATACATGCCACTAGTGTCGGATATGTGGAAATATATGGGGAAGAAAAAGAAAAAAGTAGAAAATGTGGTTATTTAATTTGAATTTTAATGTGAGAGCCCTCGGATTGCCTCTTGTTATCAGGAGTTAGTGCTCTGTAGTAGCAAATGTGGACATTAATTTCTACTTGGAAAAGCATATATGATGAGGTTAATCAGAAGAAATTGAATGCTGTAACGAAATATGCTTACGCTACAGCGAAGAAGGAATATCCAGCCAAATGCCATGATTGGACACTCTTCTCATGATTCTCGAATATGATCTCAACAAAGTTGCGGAAAGTGGCGTTGAGCACAATGGGTGAAACTGTTATCTTATCACTTGTTTTTGCAGGTGGTTCATCCTCAATAATGTCATATTTGAACACTTTGTCTGCAACCCCAAAGTATTCAGCCAGCTTCAGTGGAGTTTCCGGATCTTTGTGCGATACACCATTGACAGCATACCGGAGCTTTCCATCAGCAGTGCCAACTGAATTCACCAACTTGATTGTGCGCGTAATGTTGATCTGGCCATAGTGGTAGGAGCCCTGAGGATTAGGCCTGGCTGCACTGGCTGTCAGGTTCCAGCGGAAGGAACGGAACTGATTGAGGGACCAGGCCCACCCGACCGGTGCCTCAGGCAATGCTGACGAAGCCGGGCCCTTTCCACCTTTGTATCGGATGGTGGCAGTGGTGCTGAGGACGGTTTTGGTGAACCGTGTGGAAACCACAAAATAATAGTCCTTTGGTTCTTGATTAGCAGTCACCAGGAATGAGAAACACTGCCCCAAATGCACATCAAGGGAATCATACACATTCTGAACAGTGTGGGATCCCTCAATCTCTACCAGTTTCAATGTGTGGCCTTGGATTCTGACATTGATGGAGTTTTTCATCCCCACATTACAGACTCTATATCTGTAAGTCTTTCCAGGGATCATGGTGAACATAGGTTCATCTGTACCATCTCCTTTGCCTTGTTTACCATTGATGATAACACCATCAGGCGTACCAAGAGTCCGTCCACTGTCTAACAACCTCTTTAAGGTAGCTTGGTCCTTTCTGTACCAATCACCGGCCAAAACAGCATATTCAGCCTCTGGCCTATCAAATGGCACGGGGATAAGATCCCGACTATGGACCTTGAGCATTCCATAGCCACCTGCACCACGGTGTATCGAGGTGCTGGGGTAGTAAAAATAGCTACCAATCTGATCTTTCACCTGGAAATGGTATGTAAAATTTTTACCGGGCTGGATAGGACAAGTCGTGCCCAGAGTTCCTTCTTGCCAAGAATTCTTCCTCTGTTGAATCCCATTCCAGGTGAAAAGAAATGGCTCCTCAAGGTGGTTAAACACATTGATAACAATGTTATTGTTTGAAGTGCAGTTGATTTCTGGCCCTGGAAATTGGCCATTAATGAGAATTACTGGTGTAGGCACTCCCAGGGGGGATCGGTCTCCATAAGTAATATTCCATGTGAAAAACA